TATATATATATAATAAAAATAAAAATTCATGATTAAAATTTAGATTAGCTGGAGGTAGCAAGCCCAAAATTTTCCATACTGAAGAATCCAGTGAAGAAGAGGAAGATGAAGAAACTCCAGAAGAAAAAGGTAATATCTCTGTAAAGATATCTCTGTAAAGTATAAAACATTTCACTATCATCGAATTTTATTTCAGAAAGGAGAAGAGCCTTTGAGGCGAAAAGAAAAGGCCATTATCGAGAATGGCATGCCGTGCAAATGGCAAGACGACTCTTAGAGCAGGATGAATTAGAGGAGGAGGACGAAGACGGTGAGAGTAAAAATAATGAGGAAAATTCGTCGGAGGAAGAAAGCAATTTTGACACTCGTTTCAAATGCATGCCGTCCTGTGATAGAACTGAAAAGAAATAAACAAGAAACATCGATTAGTTTTCTTAGAATTTTCTTTTCAAATCGTCCATCGCAGTCATAATTCCGCAGCAATGTCGACTTTAATGTTTTATCGCGACTAAAAGCATATCACACAGCAGAGAAAATAGAGAAAATATTTATACTACATTTAAAAACCTGAACTAAATTTTGCATTTGAATTATGTATATATTGCTCTCCTCCATTAGCTTCATCTTTTGTAAATAACCACATTAAGAAATGAATATTTATAGTATAAACTGCTGTTAGATTTTCCAAGATTAGACAAAGTTACAATAATATATGAATATTCAGAAATACTAATAAATTGTGCACAAAATAAAATCCTATCGCATTTAACAATCTATCTTGATTTTCATAGATCATAAAATTAGAATCTGTAAAAGATCTGTCCGTCGCTTCGCGTGTATTGCTACAGGCCTATCGACGTTAATTTAGGCAACGCTGTGTGTTCCCATAAAATTTAATGTTTTTGGAGAATTCTTCATTGCTATCAAAATTTGACGAACAATAAGGCTGGACAAGGCCCTCTCGCGTATAGTGAAAATTGCCGTACGTAATATTTACAGTAAGAAAAAAACATGTGTATTTAAAGCTGTTAGTACGTGTGTAATATATTACACAAGTTCTGTGATTAGCATAGGGATATGCTACGTAACCTCGGAATGTGTGACCTCAAATTTTCGTTTCTTCTCGTAATGTTTGATTTTATTTTCTAAACTTTCTGTAAAAGAAAATAGAATATATATTATATATACACAGATAGATAAATGAAATTCAGTTTGTACTAAGCGAACTTTACAAGTCTGTCCAAGTTCATTTTGTTTATTCCGATTCACATTACCATTATCAATCCTTATCATTTATTTGTATTTTCAATTACTTTTTAATAATATACGTCTAATTAATTGCTATGCACGGATACAACGAAGACATGTCTATTTTACTTCTTTCTTTGTTTATATTTTATTATACATTTCATTGAAATGACTGAAGAAGAAGAACATTCTATTCATGAATCAAAATTTGGACAGGCTTATCTCGATCATTGGGTATTGTATTATTAATAGAATATATTTAAAAAATTGTAATCTAAAATATGGAACACGTCCAAACGCGGCGACATTAGTATAGTATTACAAAGAGAAGAAAATATGAAATTACGTATATATGATTATCAAAATCTTTTGAATGTCTGTATTATAGTCGTGAATACAAAACATATTAATAGAAACATTTAAAACAGTGTATTTGTGTGCATAGTATCATAAAGTTAAACATAGGTTACACTATGAATAAGTAAAAGTAAAAAACATTTTTAAATATTAAGCATATTAAAATTAAATTGAAATAAAGTTAAAGTCAGCTTTGGCAACGAAATTTTGTTCGGATTTGATAAAACTAATTACTTACCACACATTTCTCGTTTCATCAATGGTTGATATATTTTTGATTGTACTCCAAGAAGCAGGCAATCGCTTTGAAAATCGATATTTACACAGTTAACCAAATTCTCTAGTTCCATCAACATATTCTTAATCATTGTAGATCTGCAGATAATAACAAAGAAACTTTGTTAGATTACAAAATCACAATCACATATGATTATATATGATTATAAATTATTCCTTTTTCAATAAACATACTTTATAATATTGATCGCCCAATCCTGTTGTAATATTTTGATAGTATTTAATAATTCGTTTTCATCAATAAACCATTTCACATTTTCATAATCACAATACCAAAGATTCAATGGAATCTGATGAGCCATGTTGTATTGTGGCTTTTGTGGACAAGTCTCAATATCTAGAAGTCTCAAGATTATTTCAGGCTCTTCTTTTCTCCGTCCAATTAACAACAGAATGCCCATTAAACAACGAATCTGATGCCAGAGAAAAGCTTGACTTGTGATTTCTAATTCACACATATCATAACCTGTAGATTTTTCCACATTCTGATCGTTAACAAGTGTCACTTGTGCATCAATTACAGTTCTTTTAAAATTAACCACACCATTGGCTACGTCCATTTTACATATATTACGGAAATCATGATCCCCTATAGCATATTTGACAGCTTTATCCATGGCAACTATATCCAAATTGCCTCTTGGAAAGAAATACCTATATCTTCTATATTTGCAATCAAATCTCGCAGAGAAATTGGATGAAACTGGACACCACGCTATACATCTTATATTCATTGGCAGCAATCGGTTCAGTATTTTACAATAGGGCAACTCATCTGACAAATTGCCCTGATTCTCCGGCTCCAATCTACTGCGAACATCCAACGAGATCACCTGGGAGAACGAGCTAACACCTTTATCGGTTCGTCCACAACGATGATAATTTGCACTCTCACGAGATTCTATGCAGCAACTTTTCGATAGAGCTGCAAATAGATGATGCTCGATAGTTTCGTTGGTATCTTCTTGCACAGCAAAACCATGATAGTCCCAACCAAGATAATAAAACTTTAGAAGAATATGCCTCTTGTGATATCTACAATTGAAAAATTAACAAGACAACATATAACAAATGAAAAAAAGAACACATCACGAGTTAAACAACACAATAGTATTTACCGTGAAAAATCAAACGATTTTCTCACTTTCCCTGGTGTCCCTTCTTTCCTCGATTCAACATCCGTACCTTTCGTAATCAATAGTCTCAGTTGCTCGTTACGAGCTTCCAATTGCAATATCTTATCGATCAGTTCCTGCAAGCCAAAAATATCCACGTGCAGATTTAAAATACGAAATAAATATGAAATACACAGGAAATGTCACACGATAAACGTAACTCATACCGATTTATCGAGCATTTCCAATTGTTCCCTCGTGCTTTTTCCTGTTTTGGCACATTTTCGCAAGACCTTTGCCATAATCGTGCTCCTACGATAAATAAACCGCGGTAAACAAAAATATATCCGCAGATTCTTTATCTGTCAAATAAATGTTAAGCGTCAAAAGTATGGGTTATGTTACGCGAGATACACGTGTGTAGCAGCGCATGTGATTTGTGCACTAAGTCTGCTCTTCGTTGCTGCACCGTGTCCTACTTTTTGCACTAGAACGAGACAGATATATTTACCATTTAGCGAGAAAAAGAGAAAAGCTAAAAAGTAGAACATGCGCGCAAGGACAAATCATATAAAAACAACGTACTTTATTGCTGCACCATATTACACTCTATGATTATAATTAAAATTTTATATTTATACACACACACACACGCGCGCGCGCGCGCACATGCACACACACACACACACACACACACACACACACCACACACATTATATATATGTTGCAGAAGAAAAAAGAAGAAAAGATAACAACTACACACGCTAACAATAAATTTATAGAATAATATACTCGTAATTTATTATAAGAGAAGAAATATGATAACCGCCTATCTCCTTCTATATTTCCTGCTTTCCTGAAAAGCAAGTGATTTGTTAATGGTTAGTTCTTTTAATCACGGAAAATGATAGAAACAAACAATTATCCGTTGCACGTTGTCTCTCTTTTAACAAAATGTTATTTCGACAGAAATATTTTAATCTGCCGTTTCCATAATAAAAATCTCTCGAAATTGACGTACGTATCCTCTGTTGTGTCAATTCTTCCGATATGCATTGTAAAACTAGACAAGAAAAAAATCCATTGTACCAAATTGCATTCTCTTTATTCGCGATGGGTCGCTAGCGTCCGTCATATTTACACTTGAAAATAAAATTGCTTTTTAACTGCTAGTTTATATGCAAAAATATTTGTTTACGACAGAACACTGAGAAAAATTCAGATGATATATTTTTAAAATAGTTTTTGTATATTAATGTACTTACGGGTTGTCTCATTTTAAAGGCCAAACAATTTTGGACAGATTATCTCATCAGGAAGGGCGCGTTATACAGGTCTGTAAGGTCTAAAATGAAAAGGCAAATGTTTATTGAATGACAGCCACTTTATTGAGAGTAGACAGCGGTGAACATTAAGATTCGCCTTTGCGCAGCAATTATCTCGATAGACTTTTTTTAGATAGTAAGATATCACACGTGCCTGTACCCCGTAACTGGTAAGAATCCTATCCTTATCCGGCCTGCTATCGATCTCTCACATTACGACGAGCCTTGATCGTCTCGTAAGTGCACTCGTAGACTACTTTATTTTTCTACTGCAAAAAATAGGCGAGCTAAAAGGACGGCGACCTGCGACCTGCGACCTGCGACACTGTGTGTTCTTTAAATTTCATTCTCACAAAATGGGCTGGTTCTCTATCTCTCCGCTCCAATCCCTTTGAATTTACTTATTTTTTGCAGAGTTCCTTTCGAAATGGAGGTAAGATGGATATTTTGAACGCACGATAATTGACGATACATGCATTGCCTCTTGCGAAAGTATATGTACAAGTAGAGAGAGAG